AAAACCTACAATGTAAAATCTAGTTTTTACATTGTGGGTATTCCTACCATTTTTTTTACAATGAAATAAATCTTTACTAAAAAAAAAAAAAAAAAAAAAAAAAAAAAAAAAAAAAAAAAAAAAAAAAAAAAAATATATATATATATATATATATATATATATATATATATATATTTAAAAAGGTTTTTACCACAAGTAAAAAACATTCCCTCTAAACAGATTTTTACCTCAAAGAATATTTTATTTCAGTAATTTTTTACCCACGTATCCCCCATTTGCCTTTCTCTCTTTCTACTTTGTTTATCACCTCCTCCTCTTCCTCCTCTCCCCTTCTTCCCTTTCTGTTTTAATTCAATCTAATGAGGAGGAAGAGAGGGAATAAGAAGGAATGAAAAGAGAGGGAATGGGATGGAATAAAAATAAAGATGAAATAAAATTAAATAAAAATAAAGATGGAATGGAGTAAAAAGGGAGACGAATGGAGCGCAAAGAGAGACTGAATGAAGAACGAAAAGATAAAAATGGACAGAAACAGGAAAATAAGAAACGCAGTAATTAGCATAGTCTAACCTAAAAAAAATAACAATAATAATGATAATGATAATGATACTGTTAATAATAATGATAATAATAACAATAACAATAATAATAATAACAATAATAATAATAACAACAATAATAATAATAACAATAATAATAATAATAACGATAATAATAATTATTGATATACACATCAAAGCAGCTTTTAATCTTTCCACATAAAGGACTTTTATTCATCACCCCATTAACTTATCTACGTATTATTAATTGACTTATAATGAAGACGAATACCCTATTTGAATCTATCTAATATGTCAGCAGTATTCTCTTTACAAAATTATTTTTTCCTTAATACTTTTCAGTTAAAATAGTAAAAGAAAAAATCCTAATTTAAGGTGAGCATATTTTTAAGTTCAATATCAACAAATATAATGATTTGAAACCGTATTTTCCTCAAAAACAGATAATTTGATTTAGCGCAAATGCAATATACATTTTTTCCGATTTTTGTCACTTGGTTCTGATGCAAATACTTTCACCTGACCTTTACAGCGGCCAAGGTCAAATTCCACAATGACCTTTCGTGACCTTTCCAAGACCCTTCAATGTGTGAACTTTTCTTGAAGGTGATGGACCAGAAACGATAAGATTTTTTTTTTTTTCGTTTTTTTTTTTAATGCTTTAAAAATTATTCTTTAGGTTTCTATGCGACGAATTTGAGAAAATGATTTGGAAGATATATGTAATTATGACGTTTTCTAAGATATTTGAATTTCTGTGGAAAAATACGCGGGAAAAAACTAGATGACGTTACTTAAATTTCCTATTTTTCTCTTTTTTAATTTAGTCACTTATTCATATTTTCTTCTCTTTGTCTCTGTCTCTGTGTATTATTCGTCCATATTCTCTCTTATTCTCTTTAATAGTTAGGCCAAAAAGTAGAAACGTAGATAATTGTATAGTATAATACAGTATAGTACGAACACGCCCATACACACACACACACACGCACACACACTGCTATATGTCCGTAAACATGCACAAAAACCACAATAAAGTCTTTATCCTATGTAACAAAAAACATGCATATATAATACAAACACACACATAAAAGTGTGTGTGTGTGTGTGTGTGTGTGTGCATGTGTGTGCGTGTGCGTGTGCG